CTCTTTCAAAAAGTGTTGATGCTAAATACAATATTATGTAATACATACAGTCAGTCAATAAAGTTTAGGTACAGCGAATTTTTTACAATACGGGCAACTATTTTTTAAATATTTTATTTTTCGCTAATTTTTTATAAAAATATGGTCAATTCTACAACAAAAACCCCAAAAATCAGGGTTCCAAACCTTGTGCAAAATTAAAGACAATTCCCCAAAATTTCATTCAAATATTGCACTTTTTATTTACGCTCTCTAGAAAGAAGTTGAGTATGCAGTTTTTTAGCCCATTCAATTTTAGTATAACAAAGTGCAAGTTTTGGTGGCTAGGACTTACCATTGATTTTTAGGAATTTTTTTTGTTGAAGGTGTCGCTCATTTTCTCCATATAAAATAATGTTTGATAATATTTTTATATGGAAAAAATGTGCGACACCTTCAACAAAAAAATTTCCCAAAAATCAATGGTAAACCTAGCTTCCTCATACTTGCACTTTATTATACTAAAATTGAATGGGCTAAAAAACTGCATATTCAAATTTTTTCTAGAGAGCGTAAATAATAATGCAATATTTGAATGAAATTTTGCAGAATTTTCTTTAATTTTGTACAAGGTTTGGAACTTTTCTTTTTGGGGTTTTTGTTGTAGAATTAACCATATTTTTATAAAAAAATAGCGAAAAATAAAATATTTAAAAAATAGTTGCCCGCATTGTAAAAAATTCGCTGTACCTAAACTTTATTGACTGATTGTACGTGTTACTCACAACTTTGTCTACCCACGGTGTCCTTGACCCAGATTCAACTGATTCGGTCTGAAGCGATGGAATTTCCGATTAGACTTATTTTGGGGGATTGTTCCCGAGTTAGAATAAGCGAAGTAATTTTTCTGTAATTTTTCGATTTTCAGCCGAAATTTTCACATTGAAGTATAGTATAAATAAGACTGTATATGAGTAATTTTTTAAATATCGAGCCCTAACCGCCAAAATGACGTAAGCGAAATTTTTTTCTAAACATTCTTTTTGAATGAGAAATGTTGCTAGAGCATTTCTGCATTAAGGCGAAAATTTTGAAATATGTCGCTTACGTTATTTTGGCAGTTAGGGCTCGATATGCATATACATGTACATATACCCTGTGGGGAATTTCGTAGTCATCTTCTACAATAGCCAACTTTTGGTCCACTTATAACGGCCAACTTTTATCTGGTTTCAAAAAAATTAACTATAAACACTTATCACTCTATAGCTCTTTTATTAGAAAGTTTTTTTGACTTAATAATATAAACTTTTATTATCGTCCGGAGCCGGTGCCCCCATCTAACCCTAAACTTTTTTTAAGTATTTAAACGAATTTCCAACGTTATCACTACATACCAAATACCAAATACTTTCGTAGTATGCGGAGAATGTCTTATTTGTTATATAAAAAACTTCGTCTAAAGGGAGAATTTGTTTTGCTATACAGTTTGTATAGATCAAGTGAATGCGTAAAATAGTTTTTATTGTTTTAGTCAAAAGCGTTCATTTAAGCTCAGGAGGGCTGTACGCAAGAAACTCACCTTCTCTTGATTTCTGATTTTCCCCTGTTGTAAATAACCTCGAATCTCTTCGATGATCACTCTAGAATTTGGAGCTCAAAAAGTTTCATGAACCAATGGGAAAATCATCGATCGATCACAACATTTAGACAACACGTGTTGACTTCGGAACCTTTCTATGTTTCACATTAGGCCAGATCGGCGGTGGTTTTGACTAGCACGGAAATGACCTTAGCACACTTGCATGTGTATCTAGACATGCGATTTCGCATTTATTGCATATTATAAAAGCTATGTGAGTATTAAATGATAAAATTGATCTACTTAACAAAATTTTATAATTTTTATCTTCGAACTAAATTTCCCCGGGGGAAACACCCCCAACCTATAGTCGGGCCTGCACATATATGTATAAATATGTATACAATCGAAAACCCACCTGCAAATCGAAAAAGTTACCGTTATTGAAATCGGCACTTGCCCCCCTCCCCCCCTCCCAAAATAAAAAATAGTCTAATGGGAAATTCCATCGTTCCAAACCGATTCAGTTGATTCTGGTTCAAGGACACCATGTACTCCCGATTGCATTTACATAACATAATTATACGTATACATACGAATGTATTATTTAATTGTGCGACTTTATTTTTGGCATTGTAAAAAGCAAAAATATTTTTTCTTTGACAGTTTCGGTGCCAAAGTTCGGTCTCGGCAAACTGGTATTATCCTAAACGATGAAATGGATGACTTCTCGACTCCAGGACTCGTCAATGGCTTCGGCATACCTGCCTCGCCCGCTAATTATATACAGCCTGGAAAGAGACCCATGTCGTCCATGTGTCCGACAATAATACTCGATCACGATGGCAATGTACAAATGCTGGTTGGCGCGGCTGGCGGTAGCAAGATCACTACTTCGGTTGCAACGGTACTTACATGCATACATACATACAGGGCTGTAAATCCGGACCTGGTACTAAATATAGGCCAGAGCCCCTTCTCAGATTAGCTGTAAGCAAGAAACGCGTCTGCTATTTCTTTTGAATTTTCCCCTTTTGTAAATAACCTCGACTTACTTTGAAGATCGCTCTCCAATTTCGAGTTCAAAAACTTTGATAAGTAATGGGCAAATCATTACGATCGCCGCAATTAGACAACGCATAGGTTTCTTAAAGGGCATGCTCGGAACGTATCTGAAGACTAACACACATCTGTTGACTTCGGAATATCTGTTGACTATGGAATTGGCCGTTGTTTTGACTGAAATGACCTTACTACATTTGCATGTGTACCTTAACCTGCGCTTTGGCATTTATTATACCCGAGCGCACTTCTTTACAGATATAGACAAACATATACATAAATGATCAGAATAAGAAGAGCAGTCGATTAAGCCAAGTCTGTCTGTCCGTCCGTCTGTCCATGTACACGATAACTCGATCAAAAATTGAGGTTGCCCTTTATCCAAGGTAGGTTGCTATTGAAAATGGCCGAAATCGGACTGTAACCACGTCCCCTTCTCATATAACGGTATTTTCGAAAATTGCAAGAACTATGATATTCCAGTGAATATTGAATCCAAATTGTTGAAGATTAAATAGTATGTGAAGTAGAAGTTTGGTGCAACATAATATTATTATGACATTTTTTGAAAAGGGGCGTGACCCCGCCCTCTGTATCTTAGTAGCCGCTTCACCAATCCTTACCAAACTGGGAAAATTGAGAAAATACTTTTCTATATACAATCTAGAATTTCAGAAAAACTTGGTTTCACCAATTCCTCAGCCGACTGTCGAACAGTGTATTTAATAGATTGGCGCTTACACAATATGTTAATCTTTGGCCGAGCTTCTCCTCCAATTTGTGACGATTGTATTTTTATGATCAGCAAAAATACATTCGGAGGCTTGCCATTGCCTGCTGAGGTGCGACCACTGTTAGAAAAAACTGGTTTTTTGTTTCTAATTTAGAGGTTGCACTGAACAGGGCTGGCGTATGCCGACGACATCGATATTATCGGTAAAAACAAGGGCTACGTCTGTTCTGCCTTCTCGGGATTGAACAGAGAAGCAAAGCGAATGGGTCTAGTGGTGAACGAGGACAAATGTGTGTCATCACACACATAGTCAGAGCATACGCGCCTTGGCACCCACGTCACTGTTGACAGTTACAAGTTTGAAAAAGTAGACGACTTCGTTTATTTGGGAACCAGCATTAACACCAATAATAATGTCAGCCTTGAAATCCAACGGCTAAAATACAGCGGCTCCGCTGGCTTGGTCATGTCGTTCGAATTAACACCGACGCTCCAGCTCTGAAAATATTCAACGCGGGCCGCGATGCTGGTAACAGAGGAAGAGGAAGGCCTCCTCTGCGTTGGAAAGACCAGGTGGAGAAGGACTTGGCTTCACTTGGCATTTCCATTTGGCGTCAGTTAGCACAGAATAGAAATGACTCGTCCAAAATCGCTTAGGCGGTTACAGCGCCAATAAAGAAGAAGAAGAAGACTGAACAGGGATCAAACCCAGGACTTACGGAGTGGTAGTACGCGCCCTTAACGACTCAGCTACAGCGGCAGGAAAACATTGTTACATTTCGACGACGTAGTAGAAGATCGACGTATTTCGGCAGCCAATCCGAAAACGCCCCATTTCAGAAAACTTTTCATGAACGCACTATCTCAGAATTTGGTTAACGCTCTATCGCAACATATTTTCAGTTGATATAGGGTGTTTTTGAACCAAATTCTAAGATAGGGGGTTCTTCAACCATATTGCGAAATAGGACGTTCTTGAAAAGTTTTCGGAGATAGGACGCTTTCGAACCGGCTGCCGAGATAGGTCGATCTTCCACTCAGGTGTCGAATTATTCAAATAGATTAGACTATGTAAATATAACTGTCGCACAAGTTTTTTTTTTTAATAAAAAGGTCCTCTATATATTTTGCGAAAAAAAATATTTTATTGTTAATTTTCCACTGATTTACTTTAATTTTATTAATTTGTTTTTATATTTTAACCTTTATGTTGGCTTACCAGCGGTATACACTTTGAGAGAAAAGTGAAAGCGGCACGGAAGTTTTCGTGGGTTAATTTTTTCCATATCTTCTGGTACCATAGTCTAATTTCCTCCATTTTGAGGGGGAGTATCCCCCTTTTGTCCAACATAAGGCCTCATATCCAGCAATCGAATAGACTCGGAACTGGTGATTACGACGGTCATTCATTCGACAAACCCTATACAGTTTTTCTTTCTTTTTTCTTTTTTATGCGGCACGCATGTACTTACCTCCCAAAGTTTCCGCTGCTGGTAAACCCAAACAAAGTAACATAACATAACATAACATACCATAACATAAATTAACATAAATGAATTTGTTTTATGATTTTCAGTCAATAATCAAATACCTGATTTTCAAAGACTCTCTAAGTGAGTCCGTTAACGGAGGCAGACTACACCATCAATTGGCTCCAATGCAAGTAGACTTTGAAACCGAAGTAGACGCGCCAATCAAAGAGTATCTGAACACAGTGGGTCACGTATTAAATGAGTTGGAGTCTGGATCCGGATTTGCAGCTGTTACTGCTATCGGAGTACGTGACGGTACCCCAGAACCATTTTTTGATCGACGGCGGGTTGGAAGCACTTCGACAGTAACTCTTCGAAATAAAATGCAGCATTAAGCGCCTATGTAAGAGTATTACACCCGTCACAAGACTATGTGTTTGTTCTGTGATAATTATTACAAACACATTAAGGGCCGGTTACTCAATGTCTGGTTAACACTAATCTGCGGTTAAACATCGTTGTCGACGTTACCGACTCCCTGTTGTATGCATGGAGTGGAAGACGTCGATAACGATGTTTAAGCGCAGATTAATGTTAACCAGACATTGAGTAACCGGCCCTAAGTTTGCTAAGCCGCGAATGCTCTCATAATTTACATATTTAACGGCACAACGATGAATTTGAGTGTACAAATAATAAATCTGTAATACATATTTTAAGTGCATAGTTATTCTAGTGTGGTGCGAATCATCAGTGAATGATGCCTGAATTTCTTTTTTTTTTTTAAATATTTGTAAGGCAAAAACAGGTACTTAAATATTATTATTATTATTAAAATATAGAATGTAATTTGAATTACAAGCTAAGAATCTTAAGAGCTATGGCTGCCGTGGCTTTAAGCTAAGTTCTGAATTATGGCTTATAAATTATACTACCAGCTAAATTAAAAAATATATATTTGCCATTTTTACCAAATTAAGTAATTTTTAAAATGACGAATGATTTTAATTTATTCGGGTAAGTATGTAGGGACTGGCATTGTAGTAGCATATGTTGGACTGTAAATTGTGTATTGAGACTGCAGTACGGGCAAGTCTGGGAGCTATTGATGTTGAGCAGGTATTGCTGGGTAAGATTTGTAAATATGTATGTAGTAGATGCATAGATTATATTTGAAGTAGAATTCAAGGAAGGTAAAATTTGTATGAAACCAATGTAAGGAAATAAATATTTTACAATTATGGGATTCTCAACGGCGTCGTAAGTGTCGTATTGTTGTATGTTGTGAATTTTAAAAGCTTAAATAAAGGCTTAGAGAACTTAAAACCACAACCAACTATTTTTTAACGCTGCGAAAATTCATAATATGACTTTGATGGTACTTTTCGAACTCTCTTAATATATTTATTAGGCGGTTAAAGTTTACGACATACAACAATACGATACTTGCGACACCGTTGTGAATACACCAAATATTTTTATGAAATCCTTAAGCTTTGTTTTCATATTGTATTCCTATATATGGCCAAATCTGGAAAATAATAATTGACGCATAGCGCAACACAAAAATTGGTGCCAGACGCCGCAATTTAGCTTTTATTTTTGCTAGCATATCCCCGTGTATTTCATGGAAGAAAATCAGCAAGACATTTAACAAAATTTGCCAAAAATCAACGGTAAGTCCTTACAATTCTAACTTTCACTCTATTATACTAAACTAGAATTTGCTGCAAAACTGCATATCGATGGCTGAGTGGAAGATCGACCTACCTCGACAGCCAATTCGAATTAGGGCGTAGTCTCAGAAAACTTTTCAAAAACGCCCTACTTCGGAATTTGATTGAAGAATTTCCTATCTCAGAAATCGGTTCACAAACGCCCAATCTCAGCACACTTTCAATGTATTTTCAGCTGAGATAGAGCGTTCTTCAACCAAATTCTGACATGGGTGTTTTTCAATAAAATTCTGAAATAGGGCTTTGTTAAAGACTACATAGTACATATAAAAAAAAAAAAAGCAATGAAAAAAATAAGTTATTCGTTTTTGTTATTTATGTCTTTGTTACAATTATATTTAATTATTTTATTGAGCTTGAGGCCGTTTTTAATGAAAAATTGGTCACTGGGATATGAAGCAGCGACCTCGGATTACAAAGCCAGTGTTGAATATAATTGTTATAAGGCCATATTAACAAAACCAACAACAAAGAACAACCACATGATTTAAGTGTAAGTAGCAGCGGAATAGCTACGCTTGATTGTAGTTGGGTTGACATATGAAAAAGTGGAAAAAGCAACAACAGTTTACGTGGCGAACTTAGATCAGTGGGTACACCACTGGCTTTGTAATTCGGGGTCGATGGTTCATATCCCAGTGACCGCGGTGAAGAAGTCTGATGAGGAGATATGGTGACTTCTACGTATGTACGTATGTGTAAATTATTGTGGTTTTCCACTCAATTTTTCATTAAAAACGGCCTCAGGCTCAATAAAATCGTTTAATTAAAAATTATAATTTGTTTATATTTGTCAAAATGCGGTGAGCTTTTAATTTTGACACGGGGTGTATACAGTGGAAAGAGGGATAAAAACTGGGACGCGACCAGGGATGCCAACTCCTCTGGGGCTAATTCCCTGAAATTTCTGAAAAAATTGAAATTTCCCCAAAATGAATCTTGCTACATATTTAAGGCAATTCAAGCTAATTTTTTATTAAAAAAAAAAACACAACAAATATCATTTATTGTGATATAAGTATGTAATGAACTTTTAAACATGTTTATTATATAAAAAGCTAATACAATGGCTTGGTGGCGAAATCGAAACGAGAAAAGAGTGTCAAAGAAAACGTGGAAAAATTGAGAAATGTCGCTATGCATAGTTGCAATTTTTTTAATATCCACAATATTCCTCAATGGGAGTGTTCTAATCAAAATCGTTTGTATATTGAATTTCCCAAAATTTAAAGTCACTCCCCGATTCCCCCGAAAAGTTCTAATTCCACCAAAATCGGGGAATTTTCACCTGGTTGACAACACTGGACGCGACATTTTAGCAAGTTTTGGCTATTTTTCTTTAGTTTATTTAATGTTTATTATTTTTATGAAAGTATAGCTGATCACTTACAAATTTCAGAAGTTTTGCAAAAATTAAGAAAACTGCAAAGTTTCACAAAAATTTCTAACTTTTTAATCAATGTACACCATATAAATCCAAATTTCAGAAGTTTTGCAAAAATTAAGAAAACTGCAAAGTTTCACAAAAATTGCTAACTTTTTAATCATCATCTTTAGATAAAATTTTCGTATGCTGTTAAAGTATTAATGTGATTCTGGATGCAAAAGTAAGCGCATGTGGAGAAAGTTTCTGATCGCCATTCGCCAGGGATTGGCCAAAAACGATTATTTTGCATGCGGTTCAAATAGCTGAAAACTTTCGGTTTACACTAAGTATCCTCTGGTTAGCAACCGAACACCCGTTTGGAAATGAGCAAATGTGAGGCTCATTGCCCAGAAGACTGAAAAACCAATGTTATTTAAAAGCTTAAAACAATAAACTTATTTAATCTAGATACCTTGAAGTACGCAAAAACAAAATACTATGACATGTAAGACATTTTGTTGTGTTCATAACAAATTCAGAATCCATAAAATCTGAAAAAGCGTATCAATTTATTACTAAATTCTTATACTACAATTCTAGCTCTTGAATTTGTTTCAATTATCAACAAGCCTTAAGCAGGGCTCACACGATTTGTACATTTTGGCAGTCACCGAGTATTGTTGGTTAGAAATAATGAGTTCAATGAACACATCTTTACAAATTTACGAATTGTGTGATCCCTGCTTTAGAAAAAGTACTCTAACAAAGTATGTTGATAACTATTTTTGGTTTTAAAACGCATTTAAATTATAAAAATTACATATTTAAGTAAAGTACACTATTCCGATTATCCACACTGCTAGCCACCGCTGCTTAAAAAAATGTAGCGAACTGTTCTATAGCCAAAGATATCTACATAAAAAAAAAATCGGCGAATATTTTGCGCTTATTGTAAATTGTTGTTAAATTTTCAAGAGAACGTGTGTTCGTCTATCAACATTTACGATACACGGCGTATGAGTAACCCTCCTTTCTGGTCATATCTATACATACATATGTACCCAGTCGGAAAAGTAGTAATGCATTACATGCGTGATAAATAATATAATGTATTTCTTATGCGTTCTCGATAATATTACTGCTAACTATGTAATCAGCATTGTAATGTAAAAAGTTCCAAAAATTTCACATTAAAACGCATTCATTTCTCGATACTAGGTAATGCAAAATTGAATGCCCCTCTTTTCTTAGGACATCGCCCCATTTTCGAATGTGAAACTACCGTTTACTGATTATTTTTTCGATTACTATACATTACATTTTCCCACTGGGTACATATGTATTTATGTAGTATAGAGGGGAATCTTGAAATCTACCGAACGGATTTGGACGAGATTTTCTATAATATATGCTGTATCTACAGGAGAGTGACCTTTGGTATTTAGAAGTTCTATAGGGTTGCCACCTGTTCGTAGGATTACAAAAAATTATGTGCCAAATGAAACGCATTGACCTCTAGATAAGCATTAATATTTTATTTTTTGAGTAGGGTTTCCAACTGTTAAAAAAATTACTATTTTCAATCTTAATAAACGAAGGTATCAATTCTGCACCGTCCCTGTCAAGGTCTTTTCAGACTTAGCCTCTTTAAAGCCGCTTAAAATTATAAGATATTCACCGTTTGTTGGATAACAAAATGACATACCAAATGAAAGGGCATAGCCTGCCTTACATAGTATAAATACGGTGACCATCCGTCATGTATTATACGGGACAGTCCTCTTTTTTGACCCATTGTCCTGGTAATTTATTTATCTTATACGGGACGCCAAATGTTCTGTATTTTTTTTAATGTCCCGTATTCGATGTTCCGACGCCTTAACAGCTCATTATAATGGCTTGCCTATTTTATGTTTCCAACAGGGTATGATGTATTTTGAAACGAATTTCCGTCATCCCTTGTCAATTTTGGTTTGGAGACAAACCGGTTTCGGCGTTATGCCAACTTCAGTGTCATTTTTCGTTCGTTTATTATGAAAGTAAATCTCTTTTCATAACAAACCCCATATAATACCAAATTTCCAACCTTGTGCAAAAAACTATAAAATTAATTCTGCAATGTTTCGCAAAATTTCAAACTCTTAAATTATAATCTTTAGAAAAAAAATGGTTTGCAGTTTTGTAACTCACTAAAATTGAATATAGCAAAGTGCGATTGGAAAGTGCTGCTCATTTGCTTCTCTTTCAAAAAAAAGGTCGAACATACTTACTTTGTATGAAAAAAATTTCAATTTCCAATTAATCGAATAATTGAGTTATTTACTTTATGATTAATTAAAATTTTGAATAATCAATTAATCGCACAGCCCTAGTGCATACATATATGTATATATTGTATTTATGTACATAAATATATGTGTGTAGATTTTT